TCGATTCCAGCCAACTGAGCTTCCTGACAAAGTGCATTCCATGGCGAGCATTGTTTTCCCCAAGGAAACCATCCCTCTCTGTTTACATGGAAGGGGTTTAATCCTGCCGTCAGAAAAAGGCTTGTGTAATGATTTTCATTGCAATGAGGCTGTAACACTCAGCAGCACCTCCTCGGGCCTCATGTGGGGAAATCCTCGCCCCTGTCCGCACCCTGTCCAGAAGCCACTCAGCCCATTGCTCCAGTCAGTCGCTCTGCAACTGCTGTCCTGCTAGTCCAGAGCTACAGTGCCTCTCCTTCGCGGCTTAGCCCTCCAGCCAAGTCACCACCATCCTCTCCTTCTGGGATATTATTCTCTCCTTCTGGGATATTATCCTCAAAGTCTCAGGCAGTCTCCACTGTGCTGACTCTGCCACTCTTGCAGTGGTTGGTAGGGGAATCCGGGCCCACCCTCTGCCCCGGGTTCCAATCCAGGGTCCCTCAAACCAGCAGTTCAGATCTATCCCTCTCAGACCTGACTGTTTCCTACCCTGCCTTTCTCAGGCTCCTGCTCTCCCCCTTGTCTCAGGGAGTGTGACCGCAGACCCACCTGACTGCAGCCCCTTATCTACTGCTAACTTCCTCTCTGTATAGACCCTGCCCAGCTCCTCCCCTAGCTGGACTTCATCAGCAATTAGGCCCTAGCACTCCCTGGCTTTCCTCCAGGTGCAGCCAAGAGGTTAATTGGCCTAATTTACCCCTTCAGGCCTCGTGTGGGGGTGGACACCCCATCACAGGGGCATAGAGTGCTCAGACATGAAAATTAAAGTAGATAAATTAGACAAATATTCTCCCATCGCTTCCAAGAAATCATCCTTTTCTAGGAGGATGCCAAGCCTCACAAAAGAAAAGCTGTTGCAAGGTTGCCTGTCTACAATGGGTCATTTTACTTGACTCAAGGATAGAAGCATATCTAGTTACCTAAAGGTAAAAACAAGAACTGTCAAGCTGGAGTGAGAGTTCATCTCTCCTAATGCAACTCCATTACATGAAAACTGATGCTCAAGTCTCCATCTTGAGGAGTTGCGATGGGGGGCAGTTGATTGGATTATTTGATTTGCTGTTGTGAGGTGAGACACACTTTATACTGTTAATAAATAATTAAAAGACGTTGTAAACATGTTACAGTCTTGAGTCATGTGTGTTATAGGGGGTTGTTACCACATCAGTAGAAGGTGTTACAGTGGTCATAAGCAGTCCATTGCCCTGTAACAGTTGAGTAATCATTTAATAAAACATTTGTTAATCGTTATTAACCCTTTATAAACTCAACCTTCTTGTAAGGCCTGCTGGGTTTTAAGACCAGCAGATCTTATGGTCATGCCTTCTATTAAGGCTCCATTTGTAAATAGTGTATAAAAGATTAATAAATGATTAACATATGTTTAGTACATTTTAATAATTCTTAATTAATTAAGAAAAGGATTTTTTTTTGCAGATGGGCTGAAAAACAAATCCCTGTAACAATTGTCCTTTTATATGTCAACATTTGGCCCATTTTAGATGTAGGTTTAAGAACTTTTCTGCTTTCAAAGGTACATTTCCTGTTTTCATACCAGTCCAGTCATGTCACTGAGAAGCACCATCTGTCCTTCATGTTGAATGCAGGTATTTTCCATGCTAAAAACATCCAGCTGCTTCAGTTTATTTCTTTTTCGGCTAGAATCCACTTTAGTTGGTGTATTTAATACCACCAGCTATTAAATATATTGGAGCCTGTGAGAAACCGCTTCTAATCAAAATCCAAACAAGAATTATTGTACAAAAAAACTAGCAATTCTTGGTCAGCCACTGGCAGCTCTGCAGGAGCCTAGGGGCTGGATTCTGATCTCAGTTACACCAGTGTAAATCCATACTACTGTCATTAATTGAGCCAGTGAGACTACTTGCTGTTCTAGTTTAGGGTCAGGAAAGGATGGGAGTGGTCCAAAGGCAACAAGCCTAGCCTCAACAAAGGGGAAGTGTCAGCCTGGTCAAAAGGCCAGGAAGGGAATCTTGTCCAGACCTCCTTCCTCATAATTACAGCATGCACAATGTGAGGCTCTCAGAGGAGAGCAGACAGGTTTAGAGAGACGTATTGGAGAAGGTCCTCAGAACTCAGACAAGGAAGCAGACACTCCTTCCAACCCTAGGAGAAAATGTTGTTTCAGAAAAACTGTGAGGGCTGTGAAGAAGTGGTAATTGATACTGTAAGCAGAAATGGCTCAGGAGCCTTCTTCCGTTCTCCATCCACAGCTACACAAGCACACAGCTCCCTGGGTGGCACTTGCAGCCTGCAGTTTACATTAAAAGCAAGATCAGTACTTTTCCCTCCTTCCGTTACATGGGCGATGCCAGATTTGGCCTTACTGTTTTGAAGCAATCCATGTTCTAGTTTCCTGGGACAGTCAGACTACTGAGAATAACACATGATGGTCTCGTTAATCTGGGGCAGCAACAGAATTCCAGAATTTGATTGGGCTACAGGTCATGTATAAAAACCGTAACCTCTCCAGTCTATAGCAGCAATACGAATTTAATGAACGGTTCTCATTATTATAATTTAGTTTCATTCCAGTGGTTTCCAGAGGTCCCATTGTGCTGGGCTCTGAACAAGCATGAAATAAAAGACAAGCCCCTCCAGCACAGATGCCCACTTCATAACTGTCGGTATTAAATATGCCAGTTGAAGTGGAATCCAGCGGAAAAAGAAATAGTGCCTGCATAGAGGGATCTGCCTTCATGGAGTTTATTGCAGGATTGTGACTGCCAAATACCAGAATTGAGCTCCCCTTTTCAGTCAAATTCTACTCTCAGTTGCACTGGGGGACTGAAATCGATGGAGTTATTGTGGATCTACACCTGTGTCACGAGCACAGAGTTTGGCCCAGCGGGTGACCAATTTGTTTTTCCTGGGTGTATCTGTAGAACTCCGTGAATGCCTTAGGAGTCCTGTGCCATGTAGTTCTTGAGCTTTTAGCCATCCCTTGCATTTGCAATTCCTAATTCTCTTACAAATGTGCCACTTTATAATCCAGCTGAGAGGATGTGAGTGCTGAAAGATGGCTGGTGATACACTGTGTACCATTATTTCCCCTGTTGGCACTTGAGTAAATTACATTGTCACAGTAAATTCTCATTTGAATTGCTCATTGGATTAAGGACAGTTTTACAAATCAGAAAGAAATCCAGCTGTTAAAACACAAGGCCCACATTGTTAGAGGTGTGTGAACTTTTATCCTCAGGATTATTTTCTGCTCTGCAAATCATTTGCAGTAATGGACTAATGCTTTTGCTTTGCTCTGTATACATCTGTAGACCCAGCTGAGTAATTAAGAGCTGGAAATCAGCCCACTTAAGGAAGAACACTGCGCTTTCAGCTGTCCCCTTGGATCCCAGTAACAAGTAGAGTTATGCTATTGGAAATAGTCCGGCACTAAATGAAAATAAACACACCCAGACAAACATTAGAAATGTCCTCATTCGACGTATCTTTTAAAGATGCTTGTAGTGTGTAAAGTGACTACAAAGAATCTTAAACTGAGCGAAATGATTTGCCTTTTGGAGGCCTGTTGATTCTAACTGAACTTTGCTAATGATTTCTTTGCACAGAATGAGCCAAATTCTTCCCTTCTGTAACTCCATTGATTTGAGTGGAGGACTAAATTTGGCTCAGTTACTTTATAATGCTCTGTTGCTAGTAGTGCACTGTGGGAATACTGCTTTAATAGACTGCAGCATCTACCCAGCAAAAATTCTCTACATTAACTTGCTTTTATGTGATAATCTAAAATAATTTTTTAATGAAACTTATTCCATGAGGTGTACCCAGGAAAGCATAAGCAGAATTTGAGACAGTCTTAGATTATTTAGGCTTGAAGGTTTTAACTGCATGGAGAAAATAAAAAAATCAGGAGCCTGAAGGGTTAAATTGCAGTAGCCTATGCTACCCACTCCACAATGGCCAGCCGCTTTGCTTCCAATTGGGAAGGTATTAACCTTCCAGTGAAGGAAAAGACTCTTGTACATTTCTCTCTCATTGAAATCCTAGTGCAAACACCTGGCCTTCCAGGTACGTGGGCCAGTTGAAGCAGAGAGTTTTGACTCAACCAGCCTGAGTCCGGAACTGAATTCTCCGATATGCCAGTTAGAAAAAAAACAATTAAAGTACCTAAAGGAACAAACAATAACAGCTCTGACAGACTCATATGAGCATAAAGGGAGGAAGGATGATCCAGTGGTTAGGGGTTTATCCCAGGACTCGGGAGAGATGAGTTCGATTCCCTGCTTCTGAGTGACTTTGAGTAACTCGCTTAATCTTTGCACATCAGTTCTCCAGCTGCCCAATGGGGATAATAGCACTTCCCTACCTCACAAGGCTGTTATGAGGATAAATTCATTAACAACTGTGAGATGCTTGCATACGCTGGGTGGATGGGAGCCTTAGTTAGATAAACAGAACCAAGAGCCTTAGCACTAGATAGTTGAGATCCCCTCTAATGACATAAACTGACCATGCCAATTTGCACTATTAGATTCCATCTTTGTTTCCTTTATGCAGCCTAATAACAGTACGGGGGGAAAGGACATTTTTATCCCGGAATTTCTTTCACGATAGTTGGGAAATCAAATTATGGGTCAGGATAAAAAGGCCTTTCCCCATATTATTCATGCAGGAATCACACGGGAGTCAATCAGAAGGAAGGTACATTCTCATGGTATAATGAAGAGACAAGTAAGAAAGTTGGGGTGGGAGTGGCAGGCTTTGTAATGCTCTCAGTCTCTGAGTATGTCACCCTTTGATCAAACACCTTCTTCTGGAATGAGGAGTGGGCTAAAAACAGTGATGTAATGGTCTTACTTGGCTTTTACGTTGCTGGAGATGTTGTTTAGAAACTGCGGTTTCTGGCTACAGAATAATTAGCAGAGTAACTCTATTCTTCAAACTTCTCACATAGTTTTAATAAAATTCCTTCTTTTCAGATCCAGTTAAACAGCCGAGGACTTATCTATTCCGTTGGCTTGCTGCTGGCATCAGTTTTTGTCACCGTATGTATATAATCTCTTGTTTTTCATTTCCAAGATAGTAATTGTATAGACGTTTGCTTTTTCTCCACGTGCTCCTTTTCTCTTAGAGCAGCAGCAATTGCTGTGAGTCCTGTTGAGAGGTACTGCCGATTTCTACTGTAAAATTTCCAGGGGCCTAATCTGGTACTTTGCAAGCAATTATTTGGCCTGACACAAGATGGCTCATACATTGTGTATTTTTTCCTGAGAGGAGCCCCGGGAAATTCACTAGTAATCATTCGTCACTTTCCGTGGTAGAAATGAAGCCAGACTTACTCTTGTGCACAATCCACTCTCCAGCTGGGCAGATATGAGTTTGCCATAAAACACAGCAAAACTGACATGTTCATATTCAAGCATCAGACTGTTTAAAGCATACAGAGGTGTTTGCACCTGCAAATTGCAGGCCCAGATACACAGGTGAAAGCCGTTTTAGACACACAGAAGGGAGCTGGCCATTGAAAAGTTTAAGGGGTATGAATCTCGTAGAATTAAATGGAATTGTTCTTGCCAGAATGAACTGACTATTAAAATATTGGGCCAGATCATTAGCTGGTGTTAATCAGTGCAGCTGATGTAGCTACGCCAGTTTACTCCAGCAGTACATCTCGCCCACTGTATAATAATATCCTAAAATGATAAGTTGCAATTGAGAACAGAATATTCTTCAAGCAAGTCAATGGCACTCAGCAACAGAAAAGTAAATTTCATGGTCACGCTATTGAGAAAGGTGCTTGCCACTGATTGTAAATGTTTTTGATGTTGCTGTTTACTCTGAGCAAATGATTGTGTGTATTGTAGGTACTTGGTGTCCACATGAACAAATGGAAGCTGGATAAGAAGCTGGGAATTGTGTGCCTTTTCCTGTACGGCATCTTCTTATGTTTCTCCATCATGACAGAATTCAATGTTTTCACTTTTGTGAACTTGCCGATGTGCAGAGATCACTGATCCAGGTGGCAGACTGTCGAAAGGTACTTCCTTCTTACCTGTGCAATACAAAACACGGCTGGCGTCTCCAGAACACGGTGCACCCGACGGTCGTGAAATATATCCTGCTCACTGTTCATAGGATTCTCCTCCCATCTCGGTTTACCCTCTTCCGACCCCGAAACCTGGAAAAATCCTGCATCGATGTGAAGATAATTTTTTTTCAACATTAATGTGATTTCCAAGTTCAGTTTTTGAACAGTGACTGGGATTCTAAATGAACTGGCTGCTATCTGGCGTTGAGCCAGGCAAAACTGGTCTGCTACAATTCCTTCCTTTTTAAGTTATTTGGTGGAAGACTAATCTAATTTATGATTTAAGACTATTGCTAGAATGCAGAAGAAGAGGGTACATTGTATATGGGGTGTTTTTCAAGCAGAACTGTGGGAATCTTTTATTTTTATTTTTTTCAGAGATCAACAGCCTCTCTTTGCAACTTCTCCTTCTGAGCGCTGGATTTCGTGTAATGATCCAAAGGTCACAAGTGCAGTGTATTATGGGAACTCAATTTGAAATACTCAGCATATGAGTGGATTGACTGTTTATTAAAAAAAATGACTGGCAAGGCAGTGGATAACAACTTTATACTATGATTAACGCATCTCTTAAAGGTGTTGCAAGGTGAACATGGATTCAAAGGGTAAACACTGCTACCATTTTCATTATTAATGTCAGAGTTTTATTGCTAGGTTATTTATATGTCCTAGGTTATAAGCAATGGTTTAGGACTGCCAGCCTCACGAGGGCTAACGAGGAGGGGTCCTGGTTTTTAATGATCCACACATTGCGATGCAAGGTCAGAAGCTTCAGAGGATCATCCAACTTCTTGTAGCTTTTTGGGGGAGTGTGTAGTTTTATGTCTTATTCGTTGTGAGAGGAACATAAGCACAGTCACACATTCTCAAAATGAGTTGTAGACACTGGTTTCTTTAAAAGGAAAGAGGCATATTTTGCACCGACATTGTTACTGAAGTCATAATTTGCCACTCTTTAAAGAATACACTGGACCTGGCCAAAAAATTTTACAGCTGAACTTACCTGATATCAGATTGTTGTGGATTTATTCCACCTCCTTCTGGAGGAAGAAAGAGAGAGAGAGAGAAATGGCACTTTTAAAATGCAGAATATCTTTAATGCAGATTCACTCACAAATCTAAGTTATGATGAAAGTTTTGCCATTCGCTGTTCTAACAGACCTGCAAGGTTTTGTATAATACTGTATTAATATGCAGGCAAATTCCACTACATGAGGAACACCTATGATTGCCACACTTGTATGTATTGAAATTGTGGATTCTTGCCAGTGCTGGCTGTTGTATTTACTTTAAGCATTGATCACTTCTGATTCATTTGGTATGGTTTTTTCCTCTTCCTTGTATATGTTCTTCTATGAAGCGTAATAAGATACTACCAACAAGGTGAATGTTTTTGTCTATGGTACAGACAGTGGCCAATATTGGTAGACAGGACACAACAAAACAGGGCCCTAAGAGAAAAAAAAAAATCTGAACTAGCGGAAGAAAAACAGTTCAGAGTGAAGACCGGTTTAGCCACTCGTTTGCACTTGATTATTTAAGCTTAATTCTCTTCGGACAAATAAACGTTTCCAATCTGTGATCTCCATTCGACACAGCATGTTACTTTCTATCCTTTTCACACGGAACAAGCGAAAATACAAGTTTATCAGGCAAGTTCCATGGAAAGTTGATGCACATCCACCTTGGGTAAAAGCAGACTAGTGGGTCTCTGGAGGAAAGTAGGTGTGAAGACAGAGCAGATGTGGATAAAGGGGAGAGAAAAGAGGGGCTCCATTTTATATATGTGTTGCTGTTTTTTCTTCAGGAACATAACTGTGATCCCACTTGTTTCGCTAAGCAGCATTCTAAGAACAGCATGCTAAGAACTACACCGTATGGAAATTCCATTGCATTAGAAATCCCCACTGTACCTTCTTAGTGTGTTTTTAATTAATAATAACCACTAAAATGTCTCAAAAGACTTCCTTAAATTAAAAAATAGTAGCATGATGTGATACATTTCAATAAATTCCAACCTTGAGGACAGTTATAAGCTTATAACAAGATATAGTAGCTCCTAAGCTGAATCTTTCCTTACTCACAGGAGAGACAATATTTGGAAAAAAAAAAGTTTCACATCAGGGCCTATTATTATTTCTATTTTGAATATTTATACTGCTGCTCCAATGGAGCCAGTTGGATCTATTTCTACGAAATAGCCATTATCTATCCCATGGCACAAAAACTGCATGACTGGTTTTTTAGGAACTTTTCCTGTTGACGTACATCAAATACTGTAGTATCGTAGCTTTGCATTGTATGTGTATCCTGAGCTTTGTGCATTTTGCAAGAAAATTCTGAAAGTTGCTCATTCCAAGTGTAAGCAAAGAGGTATCTTAGATGCACTGAACTGCTCTTACCTGTGCCATATTCTTACGAGATGTGATAGAATGTTTTCTTTGATTACCGTTTGAGTTAGATGGACTTGTGATCTGAAACCAAAGCACATGATGCAAGCTTGATTTGAAATTGAGGGCCGGTTGAGTGTGTGAGTTCTCATTTGTTTTTAAAAGAAAGAGCCTTTCAAACTGATAGCTTGATTAAAGCCCATGGAAAAATCTCCAAGACAAAAATGTAAGCACTTCTCTGCGCGAAGTTTATTCTGCAATCACTCTTCATGAAAGGTCTCCCTAAGGCGTACAATAATAAGATCGCTTCATATGCTGACTGATACAGTGAGTATTCACAGCTTTCATTTAGTTTTCCTTCCAAGCAATCGTAGACGATTTTTAATGAGCATTTCAAAGAGAGCTTAAAGAGTCTTCTCCCCAGTAGTGAACACCTCACTGCAGCTCTAACTTTTGACCTGATTTTGTCTAGGCTGACACCAAATATCTGATCCCATAGTTTCAACTCTGTTTGACACATGGTTAGGCCTCCCTTGACAGTGATTAAATGCCAAAATCTTGTGACGTGGGTGGTTTTAAGAGACAAAGGAAAGATTGCTTTTGCCCTGCCAAAGTAGAATTCTATACCTGCATTTTTATTATTATTATTATTATTATTATTATTTTATTTTTAAGAAATAGTGCATTTTTTTGTAGCTATAGGTACCTACAACAGAAAATATCTCGCGTGGAGGGCATTTACACTAGTGTGGTTTGGGAGATTTCTGTGTTGCTCTGTTCCTTTGTGTTTGACTTTGTGTCCTGAGCTGTGTCATTGAAGTTAGTGAATTTGCATGCTTTGGATTTGTGGCTTTTGCGCCTGTGAAACAGCAATTTATGCTAATTTTAAGCATTCAAATGCCTAACAAAAAATTATTTAAAAAACAAAGAAAAGAAAGTGGGAAAAACACCCACAAGTGCTGAGGACATAACGTTTAATGTCAGTGTAAGAACCAGAGGTTAAGATCTAACGTGCAATGACAGTAGCCCAGATTTTCAATGACTTTTCCTAATAATCTGTAAAATAAAATGTAGGTAGCAAATACTGTTGGATACAAAAACTACAACTTTCTGGCTACTGACAAATGTTTCTTTTACCAAATTTATCTTTCCAAGTTAAGTATGAGGACATGTCAGATCATGCTGCAATGTCAGGCCTTGTCTATATTCAGAGATACACCATTCATTTGATTCATTAATTCTCCTGCTCATCGAGAGTAGAGTACACACGTTGTTGGATCAACCATTTCTAGAGAGCTCAGTCTCCTGTCAAGGTTGTGGCCTGCTCTGTATTAAGGCTGTGGCAGGCGAAGTCAGAAGCCACAATATCCTTCCAGCCTGTGCAAGGCCATCCACAAGGTCTTCACCGTCCTGCTTTTGTTGAATCAAATGCATAAAGCTGGTGGACTGGTATGGACTCCAGTATATGAAGCAGATGGCCAAGCTAGCTGAGATGGTGTTGAGTCACTTGGGAAGACACTGGAGACTGATTGGTCTGACACCTGACATCCTCATTTAGAACACGATGAAACCACCATATACTTTCAATACGACGTTACTGTTTCATGTCGAAAGCATCCAGTTGGCGCATTTGCGTCTCTGTGGTGGCCCAGGTTTCAGAGCCATACAAAAGGATGGAAGTCACTGCTGCTTGATAGATTCCCATCTTAGAGTTGATATGTGGTGTTGATGCCACAGAGGCTTCCAAAGAGCATGCATAACAACCTTGACCTTGCTGAGTTGATGTTTCATGTCAGCAAGGCAACCTCCCTCCCTAATGACGATGGAACCAAGACACTCAAATGCGTTGACAAATTCAGTCTCTTGCCCACTGATTATGATGGATAGGGGTAGAGGTCCATCAGCCACTTTCATCAGTTTGGTCTTCTTCCAATTGACTTGAAGACCAGTCTTACTTCTTACTTGCGTCTTCCATAAATATATTCAGGGCATTGCTGAGATTAGTATTTGAGGATGAGAATCTAGCTGTGGTATCTTCATATTCTAGGTCTGCTATGCAGGAGTCATGCAGTACCACCCCTGGTATGCGACTAGTGACAGTTTCCATCATTCAGTCAATAACAGTATTGAGCATATCGGGGCAGCCAAGCATCCTTGATGGACACTGCTGTTCTACTCAAACCAGTTGGAGATCCTGATACCTAAGTGGACACAGCTCTCACTTTGGTAGTGTATTTCTATGAGAAGGTGGAAGAGCTTACCAGGCACACCAGCAGCTTGCAGACAGGGAGCAATGATCAACAAAGTTGGAGGCCGCGTTTAGATCAATAAAAGCTGTATACACCTCATATTCTCTCTACCAAAACTCTTGATCTTTTCCAATAATTTGTCTAATGGTAAAAATCTGCTCTGTGATTGATCGGCTTGCTGTAGGTAGCGTAGATTCTTTATCGGGGGGTTAGCATGCTCACGAAGAATCAGCGTGAACAGTTTACTTGCAATGAAAAGCAAAGTCATGCTGCAGTGATTGGAACACACCAGACTATTGCCTTTACCTTCTAAAATGGGAGAATAATCCCATGGCTCCAGTCATCGGGTAGTTTCTCATGAATCCATACTTCATTGATAATTTGGGTCAGCCATTCTAAGACAGAATCCTGGCCATTTTTGATCAGTTCAGCAGCTATCCCACAAACATCGGCAGCATGGCCATGCTTGAGCTTACAGGCTGCGCTTCAAACCTCCTCGACAGTGACATCCTCTGCATTACATGGAGGGGCTCTCATTGGGCTCTTCACATCCTCCCGGAGTTGTGGAGCTGCAGCTCTGATAGGATGGTTATAAAGCACCGGAAAATGTTTTTTCCATCTACTCAGACATTCTGCCTCAGTGCACACAACACAATACTCAAATGGAACCCAGAAGAGACCCCCCTCTTCCCCACTGGCTGATGGAACCAACATGTTTGGACCTTTGCACACAATGTAGATTTGCAGTTTGGAACGTACCCTGAAAACCATTGGTACTCCTACCCTCTCATCACTGAACTGAACCAATACAACATTTCTGTTGCAGGACGCACTGAGACCTGTTGGAGCTGCACCAGCAAGACAATTATTAACAGCAAACGTTATGTATGGTCAGGCCTCAGCAGTGTCGCCTT